TGAAATATATGAATACGTGAATTAATGTAAATGATTTAAATTATATTATGATAATAAGAGAAATGTATAATTAATAAAAAATACTAATATAATAATTTAATTCAGTTTATAATAATTTAGTAGACAGTGGTTTTTACGTCATTCTACACAGCAACGTGGCAGCAGCGCCGCATTCCATCCTCCATACTCACCATCTCGAGTAGTCTACTGGATGAGGACAGAGCACGCGCCGGCTGCCTGCTTGGAGGGCGGGGTTTGAAGGCGGGAGGTGGCTCGTTCAACTCTCGATCGTCGTAGATGATGTGTGCATGCGTCTGCCTCGCATCAGCCTGCCGCCTCGATGCCTGCATAGAGGGAAACCATCCCGTGCCGCAGGACGGATTATTTTCTATTTATTTATTTATTTATTTTTATTTTTCATTTGCTTTTTTTTTAATTCTGGAATTTTTTATTTTATTTTTTTAAATATTTTTTTTAAATATTTTTTATTTTTTTAAATATTTTTATTTATTTATTTTTTATTAGTTTACTCCGACTTACACAGCTTCGGTATATATCAGCAGGTATTCGGTAGTAGAAACCAACGTAAGTATCAGCAGTATCGGCAATGGTAACAAGCAGCTAGGGGCCGGATTCAAGAACAGTTCGTACGTGCGTACGAATAACGTGCCAATAACGTGCGTATGCACGTTCGCACATACAAGTGGGTATTTAGGTTGTATTTACAAATAATTATATTTCGATAACGACATAACGACCGACGCAAAAGACCGGCGACAACGTGCATGACTGTGTGTGAACTGGCACACACACCTGTTTTTGTGTTAGCTGCTCCTCCAGTTCATGCAGCCGAAGTCTGAGCTGCTCGCATTCGCTTCTCAGCTTCTTCTCCGACCGAAACAGCATCGTCTTCTCATCCTCAACGTTCTGCAGTGAAGCGGAAACCATTAACAAAAATCTTCACGAAAAACATCGCAAATCTAGGACTTCAGTTTTGCTGAACTTATTATAATTTTTTAAAGCAATCAATCGACCAATCAAAGCCTTCATCGTGGTTTTTAAATTAGGAATCTAGGCTCTCAGTTTTAGGTTTTAAAGGAATCTGTCGGGGTGGTACAAACGAGAATTAGGCACGCTCGGTGAGAGTCGTATATGAAATAGCAGCACTTACCTTGATATTGCTTTGTATTTTGCCGAGGTCGAATCGTATCTGCTGATTATCTCTGTTGACTTTCAGCAGCTTGTCGGCTATCAACTCTACATCTAAGTACCTGCTCCGCCACTTCTCAATCTCCGCCCTAAGCTCTGCCACCTGGCGGAGAAATACATACACACGCATACTGTCAGATACGCAAACAAGAGTACATCCTGAAAGGCATATATCATGACTGCTATTATGCATAAAAGATATAAATAGTGACATTTTTGCGTAATGGAGAACCAAAAACTGAAATTTGGAACGGTACTGCACGGTGTTCCTGCGCCGACGGTGGTCATCAACACACACGCATGGTGAACACACACCATGAATCATTTGAAACACGCCATTCACCGCCGTGCACGCCGTACACCTCGCCACGCCGCACACACCCAATACGGACACACACAGCACACAACACAGCGCCGGTTTATGCTTCACGACCCCACACCAATATCACCACACACATCGCAGGGCCGAGGGGTGGCGACGCAGCTACGATGCCGAGCACGATACTACACACAACACACATAACGAATGCGCCGCAGCGCACACCGCACACACACCAAACAATACATACAAGCAATCCACACCCCCAAACAGCTAACCGCCGCACACACCCACACGCACGCGCAGCGCAGCACCCACACCACAGCAGCACAACCACCCAGGACACGCCCCGCCCACCACACAGCGGAGGCACAAAGGGAGCGGGCCCGCTCCGAACCCCGAGCGGACGCCAGAGTTGCCGCTGCGCAAACGACACACAAGCACACCACACACAAACAAAAGCCGGGCACACACAGACAGGGGGACCAAGCCGATGGCCGTGGCGCACACAGCGCCCGGGATTCGCAGCACCACAGAAACACCCACAAACAGGACCGCGCGACCAGTGCACACACACCACATCACTACACACACAACGAACAGACACGCCCCAACGACGCACACCGGCCGGAGGGGGCGAGACGAGCACCGCCAGCCGACCACATCGCGCGGCGCCGCAGCGAAAACGTCGGACACCACACACACACCCCACACAACGTCGCACACACGTTACACCATACATTGTCAGTGATACTCGTCAGTGCTTCCAGTCTCACTGAGGTACGAGGACTGGGTCCTGTGGATAATGCTCAGCATGTTGGCATGCTTTAAACCGTCTACCAGGTCCGCTCAGTCCTTGTCACTGGGCGTACAAACAATAAGATCACACATGATTCCCAGTAGTGATGACTTGCGACTTGGTATTTATTATGTGATTTGTATTGATTGTTCGATTGTACATCTGCATCTGAATCCGTAATCTGAAATGTCTGGACAAGTCTCTCGACTAGTGATTGTCATATTCGTTGTCATCCTATTCCATCTATTTTATATATCTTCTTCTACCTTCCTTCTTCTTCTCTCTCTCTTCTTCTTCTTCTTCTTTTCTTCATTCAATTTCTTCCTCGTTCTTCTTCTTCTTATATTATTTATTATTATTATATTTAATATCCAATTATTATCCCTTATTCATATAATGACTAGGGTATGGCATAGCGGAAATGAACACATTAATAACGATCGCCTTCACTAGAACTAACTCTCGGTAAAATGAAGCGCCGGCTGGACAGGTGTGTGTGTGTGTGTGTGTGTGTGATGCTGTGATGTGTGTGTGTGTTGTGTGTGTGTGTGTGTGTGTGTGTGTGTGTATAAGCAGATAGGCCCAACCATCAGATTCACTATGTGAATAAATACTATTAAAGACAATAATTTGCGCATATATATCACGCTGACGTTGCGAGAGCTTGGGACGACGGCTACGGTAATATCACTGCATCTATGCTCAATGATACTCATATACTCATATACGTATACACATATACTCATACATAGAGCGCCACTCTATACTGTGACGTGGGCGTTACTGACTAAATTATCGTTCAGTTGTTACATTCCATCATGAATAAATTAAACGAAATTGATTTAATAGCTGTTGAACAGTAATCAGGAATAATTACTTCGTTTTCCAACAACCATACTCATGCAGACAACTCACACTTCTAAGTATCAAGTTTGTTCCGATAAACGAGCCATGCCCGTGCTACTTCGGGCGCGTAAACATATATCGATTGCGTGAAACGTCCATACTTTCACGCTTTCTGCTGATCAATTTACTCCGTCAGGTAATATATGCGTTTGCCACCTGCTCCCACGCAATGAATGTATCGCCTGTTCTTGTGATCGCTTTGTCAAAGAACGTGGGGGGTTGCACCCTACTCGTTTATTTACCTATATTCCGTTCGATTTGATTGATGTCAAGTCCGGCATTCTCCAGCTCCTGCTGCAGATAAACGCGCATATTTGGACTACTTGTGGTTTCCAACAGCCTGTTAAGGAATGTCAATGCGGCCAGCTGCAACAAAACAAATATGGCGTGACAACACATGTTTGACGATGCGGACCGGGTAATTGATCATTCGGCAAACATTCAACTTTTAACAAACATTCAACAGCAAACATGCAAACATTCTCTTCGGCATCCCTCCGCCTCTAAACAGCGATCGATTCCCCAAAAGGATATGTATTGAGGTTTGTTTCCACAGATTGGGATGGCGTAACAGCATAATATGGAAGACCTGAAACGACATCCGACTTTTTGAGTTTCCGAGTTTTTGAGTTTCTGAGTTTCCGAGTTTCTGAGTTTCTGAGTTTCCTAGTTTCTTCTGCGCATACACCAGAGACTAAACATCAGGTTTAGCGTCGTAAATTAACTTGCAAACGCCACCGCCAGATGGCGCTACGCGGTCTATCGGCGTTTCGGGCGTATCAGTGGAACATCGACAGCACTCTCGTAGTTCTGGTACAGGGTAGCGAAGGAGCAGTGTAAGGAGGGGGAGAGGGAAGGGAAGAGGAGGGAGAAGGAAGTTTAGAGTAGTACTAGTAGGTGGAGTAGGGAGAAGCTAGTGAAGTATGAGGAAGGGGAGAAGGGAGAAGCTGGTGGAGAAGGAGGAGGGGAGAAGCTGGTGGAGAATGAGAAAGGGGAGAAGGAAGAAGCTGGTGGAGGAGGAAGGGGAAAAGCTGGTGGAGAATGCGGAAGGGGAGGAGGGAGAAGCTGGTGGGAATTGAGGAAGGGGAGAGAGAAGCTGGTGGAGGAGGAAGGAGAGAAGGGAGAAGGTGGTGGAAGAGGAAGGGGAGAAGGAAGAATGTGGTTGAGGAGGGGAAGAAGCTGGTGGAGAAGGAGGAAGGGGAAAAGGAGGAGGAGACGGGAGCTGGTGGAGAAGGAGGGGGAGAAGGAAGAAGCTGGTGGAGGAGGGGGAGAAGCTGGTGGAGAATGCGGAAGAGGAGGAGGGAGAAGCTGGTGGAGTCTGCGGAAGAGCAGGGAGAAGCTGGTGGAGTAGGAAGGAGAGAAGGGAGAAGCTGGTGGAGGAGGAAGGGGAGAAGGGAGGTGGTGGAGGAGGGGGAGAAGCTGGTGGAGAAGGAGGAAGGGGAGAAGGAGGGGGAGAAGGGAGCTGGTGGAGAAGGAGGAAGGGGAGAAGCTGGTGGAGAAGGAGGAAGGGGAGAAGGAGGGGGAGAAGGGAGCTAGTGGATGAGGAAGGGGAGAAGCGAGAAGCTGGTGGAGAAGGAGGAGGGGAGAAGAGAGAAGGCTGGAGCAGCTCCATCTTGCCCCGCGCTGCCTTCTCCACCAGCTTTTCCACGCTGCCTCTTATCGTGCAGCACAGCTTCTCGGCCCTCTTCCACGGCACCGTTCTCGGACCCTTCTCGCGCTTCTCTCTCCAGCCAGCATTCTCCGGCTTCTCCACGCAGCTTCTCCCTTCTCCTTTCCTCTCCTCCCACGGCCGCTTCTCCATCAACCTCCTTCTGCCCAGCCGAGTTTTGCTGGCCTTCTGACCCTTCATTGCCTGCGCATCGAGCTTTTCCCTTTCTCCACCAGCTTTCTCGCCTTCTCGCCGCCTCGGCTCTTCTCGCGCCAGCTTCTCCCCTCCTGCCACCACCTTGGGCTCCTTTCTGCCCCCTTCTCCGTCCATCAGCTTCATGCCTTCTTCTACCAGCTGTCTCTCATCTGCCCCCTTCTTGCTTCTCCATGCAGCTTCTCCCCGTCGCCTCCTTCTGCCACAGCGGGTCTGCCCCCTGCGGCGCTCCAGCCAGCAGTTCCATTGCTCGCGCCTCCCTCCCTATCCTCCTTCTCGGACACGCAGCTTCTCGGCCCTCCTCGCTCCACCGGCAGCTTCTGCGGCCTCTCCTGCCACCAGCGCATTGCTGCGCTTTCGCCACCGTCCTCCTGCCAGCCAGCTTCTCCCTTTTCCGCATATGCGGCGTCATTCTGGCACAACGCAGGCGCGATTCTCCGCCGCTGCGCTCCTTCGTGCGCCACCCAGGCTTCTCCGCCCTCTGGCTCACAGCCAGGTGGGGCATTCTCGCGGCGCCCTCGCTTCTCTGCCCTTCCTTCGCGTTCCCCACCAGGCTTCTCCGGCCTCCTCGCTTATCTTCGCACCAGCTTTGCTCGCCTGCTCGCTCCACCAACGCCTTTCTCCCTTCTCGCCTTCCTCCTCTCACCAGCTTCTTACCTCTGGCTCCCATTCCTCGATTCTGCGCACCGAGCGTTCTGCCCCTCCTCCTTCTCGGCACAGCTTGCTCGGCTTCTCGCCGCCTCGCGGCTCCTCGGCACCAAGCTCCCTTCTCGGTCCGCGCTGCCGTCTCCACCAGCTCCGTCTGTCTCGGGCGTGCCTCGTTCTGCCGCGCTTCGCTCCTTCTGTCCATGGCAGGCCTTCTCCCGTTCTGCGCCATTGCGCTCCTTCCGGCGCCACCAGCTTCTCCCCTTCGCGGCCACTCACGCGTTTGACTCCTTTTCGCCCTTCCTCGCTGCCACCAGCATTTCTGCCTCTTCTACCGCTCCTGCCCTTCTGGCCCACCAGCGTTCTCCCGCCCTGACCGGCTTCTCCAGCCAGCTTCTCTCCTCCTACATCAAAAAGCTCGGATGTCGTTTCAGGGCTTCCATAGTATAATGTGATACTTTCTGGCTAGATCAAAGCGGCCAGAGCAGAATTAGGTAGAGAAAAAGCTGCACCATGATATGTTCATGCCCTAGCTTTCTCTGGGTCTCATGACTGCAAAATAGCTTCAAGTGACATCGACAGAAGTTTCCCGGACCAACGTACAACAGAAATATTCTAGTGTACGTGTCACACTCTCAAAAGAGAGTCGCACACCAGGGAACATGTTATCACGTACTGCATGGCAGAGCGTGCGCATGCAATCGCCCGGTC